GTAATCTTGCTATGACAGCAGTTTGTCAGATGAAGTCAGGCCCAGAAGTCTAAACCACGCACCAACACACCAGCTTTATGGGTCAGATAAATGAGGTCTACGGTCATACCAGCAATCTGTGTCCTCCTTTGAGGACCACCTCACTCTGAACAACATCATGCCCTCACCTACCTCCATGCTTGTCTGAGTCATACTGACCTCTGCATCCTGGCCTTGGGTGATTCCAGACAACCCTGAACCTCAGCTAAGCACCGGCCAACAGCATCTTCTGACAGTTCACACAGGCTGTTTGTAAATACACTGAAAACATTGCACAGATCGCAGGTGAAGAACCATAGAATGATTTAGGTTAGAATGGATCTTAAAGATCATCTAGTTCCACCCCCCTGCCATGGGCAGGGACATCTTCCACCAGACCAGGTTGCTCAAAGCCCCATCCAACCTGGCTTTGAACACTTCCAGGTATGGGGCCTCCACAACTTCCCTGGGCAACTTGTTCCAGTGCTTCACCACGGTCACAGTGAAAAATTTCTTCCTAATATCTATTCTAAATCTACCCTCTTCCAGTATGAACCCATTACCCCTTGTTCTATCACTACATGCCCTTGTAAAAAGTCCCTCTTCAGCTTTCTTGTAGGCACCCTTCAGATACTGGAAAGTTGCTATAAGGTCTCCCCGGAGTCTTCTCTTCTCCAGGCTGGGGAGTCTGTTCCACAGTCAGTGCACCAAGGGTGATTCCAGCTGTTCATTGCACCTGTAACAAGATTAAAAAGCTAACTGAGGGCATTAATTTGTAAATAATCCAACAGAGGACATCCACATCTCGTCACTATCCAGCTATTTCACATGATTCAGCCTGGAGAAATCTGCCTTAAATAGTTTCCCAACAGCAATATATCCAGTGTAATGTACAAACTCACCTGCAAGAGTAGTACGTCTGTTCTGGGGTAGGATAAGCGTAAACTTCCTTGCCACTATGCTTCTTTGACAGTGGTTCTCCGCCCTCTCCTTCTTTTCTTTTCATCATTGCAGAAGACTGAGCCTCTGCACTAGTTCTTCACCTTTATTGTCCCCCAACAAAGAAAGCTGCCACAGACTTAGCAAAGGACAAGTTTCATCACAGAATCTTCAGCATCCTCAGACTTACATGTTCACACCCTAAAGAAAAGTAACAATACCTTTGGGAATTACTGTAACATCTACAACCTTGCATTTCAGAGCAATGTCAGGGGGAGCTGGGGCGTGTGGAAAGGAAGAGTCAGTCATGAATTCACTCAGCAGTGGCAGCATCTTGAAAAAGAGACATCTTTTTCCATTCCTTATTCCCACACTCTAAAATTGCCATACTGCCTCAGATGTCGTTGACAGCAATATGAAGAGCAATATGTGGTCCCATGCTGGAGCCCTTCCTAAAGATGGCCAGGGTGGAATTAAAGAGGTGGGAAGAAAGTGGAAGGTACTTTAGGAAGCAGGCATCTTCTTGCCTGTCCATGCACTGTGCCTGACATTCTATTATGTGCAAGAGATTTCCAAGAGCTGCGTGATTAAAATCTCCCATTATGGCCAAGTTCCGTGCTTCAGACAATCCTGCTAATTGCTAACAAAAAGATTTATCCAATCGATCCGCCTGGATCTGCAGCAGATTCCCCCAACAATGCCTATATTATTTTACTTTGTATTATCATTCTGACTTTCAATACATGTTTCCTGCTGCATTCTGAACATCTGAGTGAGATATGTGGCATAATCCCCTTCACCTTTTTCCCTCCTGTTGTTCCTGAACAAGCTGTGCTCTTCAATATTAGTATTCCAGTCACATATTCCCATGACTGTGCCATACCAAATTTCTGTTATGTCAATTAAGTTGTAATTTTGATCTTGCATCAAGTTTTCCAGTTCCTTCTATTATTGTCGATATATTTTACATCAGTACGGAGACATCTAGGCTGAACATCACTGGTTTGCTTTCTTCTTCTTCTTCCTCCAATGACATTTTCAAAGAATCATAGTTTTCATTATTTCAGCTTTTTTGTCTAGGCCACTGTGGGTCACGTTTATTTGGACACTCATGACACCAACCTGACAGGATATTTTAGCACATATCTGATCAGATTAGCAAATCTCTGCTAAAGCTTTTCCTTCTTTCTTTGTTAGATGGAGCGCATTTCTTCTCAGCAGTCCTTCCCATCCATCATGGAAGCACATGATTATGCTGAAGAAACCAAGGGCTTCCTTGTAACACTCTGCAGAGCCATGCATTCTCTTTCCTATCCTTACATGCATGTGCTCATTTGAGATTATCTTTGTCTAAGTAGAAACTGCAATCATAAGTGCTTCTAGGCCTCTTCCTCTTTTCACCCAAGAAGCATCTACGTTACAAAAACTACAGTGACCACTTATTGTCAGAGGGCCACATGATTCCCAGTGGCTGAAGTAGCTTCTTTAGGAGCGAGACAATACCTGTCTAAGACTTTGTGCAGAACTGTAATGTACCAAGACCCTAATTCATGAAACACAGTCTCATACTATTAATAAGATTGATGCTAAAATGCAGAAAACGGAAAAAAAATGGATTGGAATATGCTCTTACCTCTATACTCCAAAGTAGGATCACCTATATCAAAACTGCTCATGAATGATGGTTGCCTAAACATACCTTTGAAAATAGCTAGTAATAGGACACTGCGGACTATCACAGACTATCTATTTCAGTACTTCACTCTCCCACCTTTAGTTCTTTGTATGTCAAACAACTTCCCTCTGCTGCAGTTTACTTGTTCTAGCCACAATGAATATGCAGAAAATGTATTCCCTTCTTCTTTGTAAGCTGCCTATATCTATAATGGTAAAATAAAGAGAGCCAGAACACAGGCCCAAAGGTGGACCTTGGATTATCTACAATTTCACATTGATAGAAGAAGCCCTCACAGAATTTGAGCATTGCCCCAATCACTTCCCAAACAGAGTTTGAGACTTATTACCAGCTCAGATGCAGCTATGTCGTCACGAAGGCTGTAAAAGAGTTTAAAGGCCAGATAATGTCTCCAGGCCAAAGAATAAACTCCAGTATTGTTTATTTTTTATATAGTTAATAATTCTTATCAAGTCTCCTTTTTTGGACTAAATAACGTCAATCTCAGCCTTTCTTCACAGACTCTAGATCATTCTCACTGGAAAACATATCGTTTTGAACGGACATTCCCAAAACTAGTGTCTGAAGTGCAATTCTCGAAGTGCAATTCCCAGTGGTCAATACTCAGCTGCCCCCTCACCAATGCTGAGTGAAGATTAACATGATGATTTTCTGTGTACTACAAATAATATTCCTATTTATGCATTCCAGATTGCTTCATACAGTTCTCTAAGTACAGTCAGATGAACTTAATGATCTCTAATTGATTTTGTAAATCTCTAACTTATTTAATACTTTTTAATATATTATCCCAGTATTTACAGCAACATCACTCCTTACATTTGTCGCTGAAGCAGATTACGTTAGCAGTGATAGCACAGGCAGACTTTTCAGCGAGAAAAAAATCATTAACTATTTTGGCCTCTCTGGAGTAACACTACGGTAGCATCAGCTGGTGGTCATGGAGAAGCTCCTATTACTTCTACTATTTTTGTACCTGTTCCGTGGATCATTGAGAAATTTCTTTCTTGAGAGCTGTCAGCCTATCCACTTTCAAAAGCACTTCTATGTGTTTTAAAATTAAATGTTAGACTGTTAAGGCTTTTTAGGAATGAACTGTGCCTCATAAACCAGTCTCTTTGAAAGGAATCCCTGGAAGAGCAAATCAATAAAATTAAAATGATGAAGATAAATAAACAGTTATCATTGTCAACTGACCTCCTATCAATTATCTTGTGCTGTTGTGGCCTCTGGTGCCCATGCTAATTGACCTTGACACATGTTCCTTGTTTTTTGAAGCTTCAGCTGCATAGCTTCTCTGTTGACAAAGATGCAGTGCTACAGGAAGGCAGGTTTTGCCATTGCCTCTCTCCTTTTGACGTGGACTTTGGTATGAAATAAAACCCTGTGTGGTGGTCCACAGCAAAGCTCATAGGCAAGCATGGCTGCGCTGCAATCCGCTGGTGGAACGGGTGTTTGCAGGGAGCAGGAGACCTTAAGGGTGACTGCATCGGTGACTGACACGGGAATGAAAAAAGTTTGCTAATTTGCAGTCTAGCTAGTGCTGACTGATAAAGGGATGTGTACAGTAGTCTCAGTCTTATCTCTTTTGCCAGGTTTACACTGGCGTGACACCACTGAATTTAGAGAAGCAGTTCCTGATTTACTTCAGGGCAAGGGCAGACTCGGGTCTGATTTTGCACCACAACCCATAGAGATAATATCTCTCACTAGGAAACATATTTGGTATATTTAAGAACACTTCAATACATATATATATATATATATAAGCATACTTACAGCCTTTCCCCATTTTGTGAGGATATTTTGGATCTTTCTGGTACCTCTCATTATAAAATCTTCCTAAGCTAAAACCAGGACTGATAAAATATGACTCTGCTTTCTTTTGAGCAGGGGACCCTGCCTAAATCACTGCCACATTCTTCCCACAGTAGCCGTTTAAAATTAATAGCACATGCGGAGGAAAAACTAAACCCTTTGACGTCACTCCTGAAATGAGGAAACATAAACAGAAAAGGCTTCACTCCACGGAGCTGAGCGTGCGGACGCGGATTGGTCCGCTCTCCCGCGCCCGTGGCGGTTGACAGCACCTCCCAGCCCTGCACGGCCTTCGGCTGGCTGACACAGGCAGCCAGACTGCAGCAAGCTCAGCTCTACCCCAGCCCTTACCCTGGCAGAAAAGTGCACTCTCTTCCCGAGCCTTTTCGCTTCTTAAGGTGGTTTTATTGGCTGGGTTGGGGGACTTGGGGAGGTTTTCTTTTCTTTTTTCCTTTTCTTTTTTTTTTTTTGATTTTTTTTTTTTTGCTGTTGTTACTTAATTCTATTCCTAATCCTGGATGCAGTTACTGGATTCTGCAGTACAAGTCTTCATGAACAAGCTGCACCGCTTAGAGATTTCACGGCATTCAAAGGTCACAGAACTGCCACTATGGTTAAATGTCTTGTTTAATGGTTGAGGTATGTACAGCAAATCTAAGAGGCAGCATGATTATTTTTGAAGGGGAACTAAAATTGTGAGGGGGAGAGGGAGATAATACTATTATTTGGTGGAAAAGATTTTTACTGGTGATTGTTACTACAGCAACCGGTTTTTGAATTTCCTCCCTTTTTCTCTTTATTCAAACTAGATGAAAATTTTAACTTATGTTGATTTAACCATTTGATGGCGGAAGAAGATTGCAGAAAGAATCTGTTATTGTAGTCCTTTCTGACCCCAGTGAGGAAAGTGTGATTGCTTTTTCTGTGTCTTTTCCTACTGCTCTGTGTAAGGAGAGGAGACCTGGGACTTGGCTGGCTTAGATGAAGGGAGAAGAAATCAGAAACTCGTTCTTATCCTGAGGGGGCTGCGAGTTTGTCTGAGAGTTAGAGCAGAGAGAGAAAGAGTTGGAAATAAACAGATCAAGCAGAAAACAGTATCAGCCTCATTTTTAGGAGTGCATGTACCACATCATTTTTTTTTTTACTCCATGCTAAGATTGCTTTACTTGATTTGGGTTCAGAAGTTCAAAATTAAGAAGCAGCCTGCACTTCGACTTACAAGCAGATCCTCAGTGGGATGGGAGGGAGCTGATTGTCTTATATCAACACCAGGTTTTGGATAGCTTTTGCTACTTAAACAGAGAAAAGTGGAAATTTGCTTGGAAGTTGAAGTAATGTAGCCTGACGTCTGTTTGATGGCATATAGGTTCAATTCATATTTGAGCTAGTGATCTGACTTGAATGAGTATTGCAGCATTACAGTGAACAGTGTGTGCTGCAGGAAACGAAAGCAACTGCTGGCATAAAACTAACATTGTTTTCAGGAGTGTGATTCTAAAACACAAGAGGAGGAGCCACTTGTCAGAGCTCGTGTGTGTGTGTGTGTGTGTGAGCGGTTGTGAAAATAATTTCAGCCAACACAGCCGATTTCTGTTGTTAATTGCATTAATATACAGGTATGCTCAATGACTGGCAATCTTCATATTTTCCCAGTTTGTGAAATGAGACTTTTTACAGCTCTGTTTGAGATGTTGCTGTCGATAAAAACCTTCTGCAATTTGAAAATCTTCTAGTTTAACTTTAAAAACGATGCCTGAAAAACCAATTTGTATAACAAGGAAGAGAACGTGAGCACACCTACCTCAAGCAATGCACCTCAAAGGGTTACAAAAATTAACTACACTAGGCTGAAGCATGCTAGCTTAAGGACTGCAAAAATATTAGCTCTGAAATGCAGAGGATGTGCTATGTGCTGTGAATGGACAATTGCTAGTCTGCAGTGCCTAGTGGGAAAACAAGGACTTTGTGTATTGCAAATGCATAACTGCAGCTCCTCCATTTCCTTTGCTGTATCTTCACTGATGACTGCAGATACAAAGAGGCTTGTCACTGATAAACTCTTTAGTGCCCCGTCTCTTTGGAGATACTTGATTTTTTTCATGTCATCCGACAAACCAAAGTCAAGCTTCGTTAGTTGAACTGTTATACTGTGATCTGCGTGCCATTCTGTGCTCCCCAGCCCTCCCCAAAGTCTTACTACATGAACTGTCAGACGTTTTCCAAAACTAAAGCACTGCTTCTCTACCCCAAGTTTAGAAAGGTTAATATAGTTTTCGTTAGATGATTAATTGGACTAAGGGGAAGCCTCAGTCTGTAGGGACTATAGCCTGTTCTTTAAGGAACAACCCTGCAACTACATGAAGATAATCAAGTTTCCAAAGGACAATCTGTAAGATATTTGTTTATAATGATTTCCTATAATTAAGTTGTTCACTTCTTTTGACAAATATCTTTTTAGAGAAGCTGAGTTTTTAAGCACTGTAATCTACACTTTGCTGCATCTGTTTTGTAGCAACTACTACTGGTGATACTAATAGTAAATATGTGAAGTGTATTTCAGCTGAGGAAATGACACTGGTTTTCTACTTTAGTAGGGAAAGTTGATCTGCAATGCTTTCTCTGAACATTCTCCACTCAGCATCAAGAACAAAATACAATTTAAGGTTGGCCTCTCTGCAGTGGATGAAAAGTTCACCGACATTTGCAGTCACATTATATCAAAAAAACCTCTGTATTGCAGAAGTTTCATGTGATACGAATGGCTGCTTATTCTGAGTTTATTTCTGTAGGGTGGACAGGAGTTGTCACCAGTGAAGTTCTAGTGATTCCAGCAGAGTAAGACATACTCTACTGAATCTAACCCAATGTATTGCAGATCACTTTTTAAAATTGGGAAATATTTAACTCTGTAAACTAGTATACAAATATGCCATTATAACAGCAGCTGTTTCCTCCCCTTCTTCCCTGTTTATTGTGCTTTTTCCCTTCTGAAACCCAGACCTTTGCTTGCCCTTACCAGACCTCTAGGTAGGTCATTGAAGCAGACTGATTTTTCAGTGTCTTCATTGTTATTACGAAGTATAATTGAGACATTCAATCATATGTAATTCCTTTTCACTCACCCCGTGGTTCTTCTACCAATAGTTAAAGCATGTATTAATGAGAAACAGTTTGAAAATTGATATTTTATGACATATATATGGTTTTCTTGTAATTTTTCAGTCTCATAGGGAAAAAACTTCTCTTGTACTGGTACTTTCCTTTATAGGAGCTATATGAAGCAGAAATGCTAGCTACTAACCAAACCATTACTGTCATTAGACTAAAACCTGACACCTCTTTATTTTATCATAAGAAATATCTAAGACCTAATCTGTGCTGTAATCAAGCTAGATATATGGCCAAAAGCTCTTGATGCAGTTGGGATAACAGAGAAATAAGTCATTTGAGGCAACAAGGAAGACATCCCATGAAAATGAGCATTCTTAGCAGCTCACTATTGTCCATCTTTCCTTCATTTTCATGCTTGAAATTATTATGGCGTTCCATGTGTTTGTCACAGGGTGAAAGTGAAAGGGACACCTGGGGTCCTACCAGCTGCCAGAGCAAAATTAAGTGTTTTGTAATGAAATGATGGCTCAGTATTTCTCCTCCCGCATCCATATTGGGTGGAAGATGGGACACTCTATGTTGGAATTATAGCATTTCATTTTTCTTGTTCCTCAGCCAGAAAACAGGCTTACCCTTGCAGGAGCATCAGTTTTTACACTTTCAATGAAACGTTGGCTTTACATCTAGTATGAAAATTACGCTTTTCAGTCACAAGCTTCAGGATGAGGAACTGACATTTTTTAGAGTTTATACCCTGGGAGCACTGGGACACACAGACGTGCAGCCTAAGTGTCTAAAAGCAGTTCAGAAGTTCTGATGCTTTTTCTTGTCTCTGGCCAACACAAGGTGGATCAATTTAGCCAGCTAAAGATGAACAAAGGTAGCTGAAAAGCTGAGCCACAAAGCTGGGCACCACATATGCAATCAGATGAGGGCAGCTGGTAAGCTTTTTCTGTGGTTTCACAGTAAATGAGTGGAAATCAAATAATGCGTCTTTTGATAGTAGTAGGAATTTGTCAGGTCTGAAGTATTAGCTTTGTGTAAATACTAGAGAGAGAGAATGTATTTGTTGTATTTAAGACAATTTATGTAATTAATTTATAGGCATTTAGAATTCAAAGTCAACTTCTGAAATATTTTTTTTTAGCGAAAAGAATTCTTCTGGATCTTCCTGAAAATTGTTTAGAGCACTTTTTAATTTTATTTTTACTATTATTCTTACTACAGTACCATTCCAAGAAAATTGTGTTAGAAAACAATATTTGAAGCTCTGAACTTACAATTTCTGTTTTCCTGTAACAGACCGTGATTCACAGTGCTCAGATCTGGGCTAGTGATAGCTATCTGTTTTAAAGCCTCCAGTTTTAAAGTAGAAAACTAACAAATCAGAGCCAGATCCGGTAGAGGAGAGAACAGTTCCAGAAGCCAGACATTAGTGGTAAAACGGTAAGTGAAAAGTTTGGAGCAGACATAATTCTTGAAAACAGCAGCCAAATGATTTAAGCATTTCTTTGCACACATTTAATCGTGTGGTGTCTGCAGTCCATTGATGCTGTAATTTTGATATACATTTTTCACTTGTTCTGTTCTTAGAGAGTGAAAAATCTATAGCTATGATTTTATTATGTAAACAGGATTGAACTATAGAAATTAAACTCATGAAAGGGCCCTATTTAGTTTGATTTTCTTATTCCGTTCTCCCACCCAGTGGGAGCTGTGAGTGAGGATGTATGAGAACTCAGTTTAGCTACTTATTTAAGCCACATAGTCTTATGGTGGTATATGATATGCTTCTGCTAGCTTACTACCCAGCCAAATAAGACATCCAGTTTGCCTGGATGGATAAACATAGCTGATGATCTCTCCCTCTTAATAGGTGGGAAGGAGCAGTTAGGGTTCTCCCAGTCACACACAGAGACAAATTTGTTATAGTTTAGCTAAAGAAGAATTGCATGCAGACCCAAATGGCAAGATTTACTTCTCTTTGAGTAGGTTATTTTAAAAATAAGAAACAAATATTTAGAAGAAGATAGTTGCAGAGGGTTTTTTTTTTCTGTAGCTGGTAGGTTTATAGTAGTTACCCACAAAAATTTCTGGTATGAGAAACCTCACCAACTAATATCTGACTATGGCGTGTGTTTATGCCGGCAGTGTAAGGTTTTTAAAAGCAGAGCACAGAATCTCCCATCAAACTAAGTTCAACTAGTTGTCATGGAGGCAGAAAAACACATATGTGGGGCAACTGCTGTCAGGACCTGTATGCAACTCTCTACATGGTTTTTCATAGCAGAGTCTATGATACTAACCCATCTGGATGCAGAAAAGATGTTTTGGAAAGCATGATCATTACCTTTCCAAGAATAAAGTGGGAGGTAGGCATGTTTTGACTTAATATGCAGCAACCTAGAGATGGCTCAGAGAAATATACATCTGTAAAAGTGAAATTAAGAAACCTCAGCTTCAACTAGAGAACTCCGGGAGGATGATACTGAGCTACCGCCTAATCACTTCTATTCCCTTTGGAAATT